CCTGAAGAGGGTACAGGCTCTGCTTCTTAGAAACAAAAATGCAGACAGAGGAATGGGACACTTAATGAGCATAATATATCTGGAGGCTTCAGACTGAGGACAACCTGTGCTAAATATCTGCCTTAAATTCTTTCCCAAAATGAAAGGTTCCTACTACAAAACAGTCAAAATTAGTGGAAAATTAATCAAAACCTGACTGGAGGACACTGGCCTTCAATGAAGGTTATGTCCATGTTAACTTTGCTGTGACTGTCATAGTTCAGGAGGTATAATCTGTGTGGAAAACATTTTTTTTTCTTTTTCTTTTTTTTTTTAACCATTTCCACTTCAAAGTGGATGAAAGAACACTGTAAAAAGAGACTTAGGAAAATCATCTAGGAGCAAAAGCCACAGAGAGGAAATTTGAAGCCACAGAATACTTTTTTAGGAAAACTGAGCACATGAAAACAGGAAAGGAGATGATTAAACTGAAAATATTTGGCAACCTTAAGTATAATAGACACCGGTAATCTTTTGCTGATGTGTTTATTGTATGAACTGCACAAGAACAAGCTGAGTATATGCAATACATGTCACATTTCAAGTGTGAGCCAGATTATGTGTGCATCATTTATGATTCCCATCAATGTGTGTTTTCTCACCAATGCTCCCAAAATCCCTGTGGAATATGGAGACTATAGAATTGAGACTACAAACCTTAAGATTCAAACACTTCATCAATAAGGCAGGGTGAGCTGCTCTACCATTCATGCATCTCTTCCTATGGGAAGTGTCATAGAGCCGTGAAGCCTGGACTTCATACTGGGGTCTCTTGTTCAGCCTCAAAGAAGTACAGTGAGAAGACATCACTGCAATAAATCAGGGGGATTGTATTATTTGTCAGTTCTATCAAAGGTTGATAATTGTTCTCTGTGAGTTGGGCATCTGAATTACCTTATCTATAGTGTTTACCCCTTAAAGCACAGAAAGGAAGGCAACCTGTGTACCTGACTCTGCTGCTTTTGCTCTTTGCTCATACCCCTGAGCGTAGCTACAGCTGATTCTGTAGCATGGTAGCATTTCATTGTTTTTAAAATAAATATCTATAAATTAAAATGGATTTTGTTTATCTTAGAGGCAGTTTAAGACAACAGAAAGGAAATACTGGAAATTCTTAGAAATGTTGGAAGACAAAAATGCTTGAACATATTCCCAAAGATTTTATACCTTTGAGATTAACTGTATCTTTGAAAGGAGGAGATTTAACCCAACTCCATGGGTCCAGTGGCTTCACAGGGATAATCTGCTGCTGTCAGAGGAGAAGGATTATGTTATTTCATTACAGGGGGTCTCCATCTTTTTAACCCATGTTCCTGAGAGATGACTGAGTGTCTCTCCCGTATAAGCGTTTGGGGATTTCCAGGAGGAAACCCCATACAGCAAAACTGGCTCATGACACTACATGCTTGGGAACCCTAACTCTACTTCCAAAGCCTCACAATTTTTCCATCAACAGTCACAGCACAGTGATTTATGTGGGATCAGTACAGTGAGGAGCTGACAGATGTGTACTGCTCATTATATCCTCCTACTTAGGTGACTCCCAGACCAGGTTACCCAAGAGGACTCTGGGGAGTGGACAGGGAAGATACTGAGCTCTGGCTACCAGCAGGACACAGCCAGACACTGCCCCTATCTCCTTGCTGAGAAAAAGTTAAATGTTTTTCCAGTTATAGTTTCAGGTAAAAGTTAACCAGGGACAAAAACATCTAATCCCAGCGTCACTGGAATCGCAGATGCTTGGGTCCCTTTTAAACCCCATGAGTAAGTGATGTCATTCCTGATGGAAACAGGCAAGTTCCCCTTGCATCAAGATTTCTTTAGAGTCCCCTACAATCTGAGTTGTAAGCCCGAGCCTCTGTATCTCTACAGAAAAGAAAAGAAAGCCAGATCACAGGGATGCTGAACTGCAAAGAGAACATGAAGCTGTTTTGTGTGGAAGGGCCAAGACTCTGCCTGGCACTGAGACAGGGGTGTGCTTCAGATCTCACCAGCCTATGCTTGGCACAGCACTGAAGGGCCCCAAGCAGAGAGGTTTAGGAGTTAGTTATCCACATGTTCCTTCTCCCCAGGGCAGCACTTTGTTTCAGCCACAGGGAAAGCAAGAGCACTTTTGGATCATACAGACCAATTTGCTAATGAGAAAATTCTGACCCTAATGAGAAGTGAGTAGTCACATTAATGCAGGAGGATATGTTGAATGTCATCATGTATTATCAAATCCATTGTCGTAACCTTTAAATTCCAGTTATCTCTTCCTGTCCGACCAAATCTGCCTAAATTCACAGACCAACTCACTGATTGCAGACCACAGTGCTGTCTGTGGATGTTTGCTTTTCTCTGAAACCAGCTTGCACATCCCCCTGTAACGCCTCGAAAACCACCTCTGTTCTAGCCATCAGTTGTAAGGTGAAGTATGAAGCATTGAAAGCACAAACTGCTTTCAATTTCCATCGCCAGTTTTCTACGTTAGACTTTAATTCTCAAATTGTATGTTCACAGTTGCAGTCAGTAATGACTACAGAATTTCTATTGCATTAACTGTAGCAAACTGAAATCTAATACCTCTGAAAATACAAAAAATAAATCAGGTGTTATACAAATAAAAAAAATATTTCTGAATGGAGCCCAGCAACTCTCCTCTAATTACTTTAAATTTCAGTGTACAGAAAGTGTGTTGAGTGACAAGTCAATTTATTTGCATGCTGGAAAAGTTCGTGTTCTAGGCATGTGTTTATATGACAACAGCTTCGAGCATATGCTTTTTATTTTTCCCAAACAGACAGATGATTTTTTTTCTAGAGGCTCATAATAGGTTTTCTGCTCATATGCTACAGTTAGCACACATTTTCCTTATTTACAGTTTTGTGGGTGTAAATCTACTGTTCTTGGAAGATGTTGGATTGACAGTCCTGCAAGACACTCCAACTTGCCCTGCTATGTTCCTTAATCCTAACCTGATGAAAACACCTCCTGGGGAGAGAAAGATCTTTGCTCTTCAGCCCCTGCTGGTACCTGGCTTCTTCACTAAAGGCTGCCCACAAACCTAGCCAGCAAGACCACTTCTCGGGGTACGCAGGGTGGTTTGCGCATCTGCTTGGAGAAACTGGTTGAAGATTTTTTTGTTTACTAATCTGTTAATTCTATAGACACAAAAGCCTGAAATTCAGTTTTCTTGAGCATACTAGAAACTAGGATATGTCTCAAAGAATAATTTTGCATAGAGCTGAATTAGCCTTATAAAATTCAGTACTTTATATAGATTTCTAAAAGAGTACCAATGTCCTTGTTTTATAGAAATATTTCCATTTCACTAAGACATATTCTAAAAAGAAAAAAAAAAAATGATTGCCTACTTCTCTGCTAAGCTCCAGGTCCCTTTCACAATGATCACAATCAAACATTCAATTACGCTAGATTTAAAACCATTTTTTAATAGAAGGAAAACTGCCTTACAGATGCGTTAAACCAAACCACAGCTTGGGGCTAGAATTTGATGGGATGAGTCTTCATAAAATTCAACCTTAAGAAGATGCAGGAATACCTTTTGGAAATAAGTAGAAATTGAGTATTCTGTTCTTTACTTGGTTTTTAAAACTCAGTCCCTGAGACAGAGTGTGGTCCTTGCCTTGGCAGCAGTTCAAATCAGCTGAAATAAACCTGGAGGTTTCATTTTGTCTGGCTTGCCCAAGAGACAACTCTGATCCATATGGAGACTGAATATAAAGCATGTAGGCATGCAGTGACAAAAGGTGCCTACGGGAAGCAAAGGGCAAGAAATCAGGATGGGTCAGCTGAGTAAACATCAAAGACTCTCAAATAACCAACAGAAAAGTAAATATTCTCAAGCAAATGGGATATGCCCATAACACCATTGAGATTTTATAGAAAACATTCTTTGAAAAGAGTTCTGCTGGGGTGTCTCTATTTGTCTTTCCCTTTCTGGAATATTGAATTAAAATGGCCTGTTTGCTCTGTAAGTTCATCAGTTCTTGCTACTCAGTCCCCAGTGCAGCCTCTTGACACCTCAATTATCTCTTCAGCAACTCCTGATAGTACCACAGAAGTTGGCATTGCCCATCTGGATATTTCTAATACACCCCACCATGAGACTTGCTTAGCAAAATACATGCAGGTACAGAGGATAAGAGGTATTTATCCATAAAAGGACTGTGCGAGGTCTAGGAATTAAAATTCACTTAAACCCCATGAAGGCAAGAAGTAATGCATTTAAGGATTATTATCTGAGAGTATTAAAGGAACATATTTTAAAGACAAAAATCCCTACATGATTTCTATTGCTTCATTTCCTGCAGAAATTAAGATGAAAGATTAACGTACCTGTTCATTTCAAGGGCTCAAGCCCCTAACTTTGGCATTCTTTGGTAATGGCAAAACTGGTGTGAGCCATATATGACGTAATCACTGCTTATTCTAATTGGTTGGGAGGTTTTTTGTATGTCAGTGTTGCTCTGGCTTAGGCGGTGATATCTCTAGTGTGCTGCACATGGGAGTTGATCATTTTGGTTGCATGAGGAACCACCCCAACAGCTAATTTAGTCACTTAATATCTGGCATGAGTGGTGGGATGAATGAATGCTGCTGGAGGCTAAATCTCCTTTCACAGCTGTAGCAGAAGGGAGGTTCCCAAAAGCACATGCCGTAGCCTGTGATTTCAGGCTAAGGCATAGCAACTTTCTGGAAGCACAGTGGGACAATAAAAGATGTGCTAAATATACAAGTCCGTGGAAGGCAAATAAAACATATGAGTTTTCTTTTGGCTGCTGGTGGTGGTTGGTTGATTTTGCTTGGGAAACAAGAATCTGACCCTGAAGCTGTTTTTTGCACCTCCACCTATCCCTGCTGCTTGTTATTCCTGTTGCCACTGTTTAGACAAAGAAAACATAGGATTTTTCCCATGTAACTGTTCCAATACCAGGTTATCGTTATAGTTACATTACCTTTTGTGCAGTGGAGCGTCTTTTTTCAATCTTATTCGTGTCTCCAGCAGATGTGGGTGCTTGAGGGCAGGCAGGGCCAGCAAGCCAGTGGACTGGGCTGCCATAGCCTCTGCTGAGCTGGCAGCAGAGAAACCCACAAGCTGTGGGTTGCTCCTGCGTGGGTGCCACTAGAAAACCTTGGAAATGTAAACCGTGGAAACCAAAGATAAAGGGTATTAATGTGAAAGAGCTCGTGAATGTTATCTATCCCACAAAAAAAAAAAGATATAGTTTAACAAAGATGTCTTCTTCCCTTCTCCCGCTGCTTCACAGAAGTCGAGGTACCAAGGTTTAGTTTCCGTGGTCCCGTTCTCCAGCCACTGGCACGGCCTCTCGAAATTGGCGGTACCTGGGAGTGAGGCTGAGCCTTGACAACTCCCACTGCTGCCCCATCCGCGCCGCTTCTTGGCGTGGTGTTTGCAAACACCGCCCCCCACACAGTTCCCCGAGGCGGGGCACACCGCTTCGACACCGCAGAGCACCCTCCCCGAACCTCCCTGAGGTTTCTTGGCCGCTGCTTTTTCCGACGGCGCGTACAGAATCCCGCCCGGCTGTGCGGCGACACACAGGCGCCCCAGGGAGCTCCCAGCATCGGAGGCACTGCGGAGCGGGCTCTGGGGGATACTAGGGACCGGGAGGGAGCCGCAGCCCTGTTCTTCCATGTCCCTCCGGCTGCAAGAGCTGGGCGGGGGTGGCGAGCGGCCGGGATTAACTGTGGGAGGTTACTCCGAGGCTCCGGAGCCCGGCAGGCAAATTTCACAAAGTGATAGCACAGCGTGTGCCTGTGTCCCCCGTGTCCCCCCGTGGCGCTGGGGCATTCCACGGGAACTTCGCCCCTCGTTGCTGGAGTATCCCCGGCGGCGGGGACAGCCTTCCCAAAAGCCCGAGAACACCTTACGTCCCTGGCGCGGCGGACTCGTTCAAAGATCACCACGGGTGGGCGTTTGCTGAAATGCTAAGTTGACGGGCACGGGGAAAAGCGACCCGAAACTCTCTCGGTGCATCGAAGCGGACTCGGGAACCCATCGCTCCGTGACCCTGCGGGTGGGAGTACAGCATTTCACCCGGCAGCGAAACTCAGGACAGCAGGTTACACGGCCCGGGTAGGGAGGAGGCATCCCGCTGTCCTTGCCACGGGAGAAGCGGGGGATAGGACGGGCAGCCGCGCCGGGAGAGGTTCCGAGCCCCTCGCCGCGGAGCCTGGGCGCTCTGCGGAGACTGTTCCCGCGTCTGCGGGTCTGTGTGTCGCCGGGGTCAGTGACTGAAGCCTGGAAGTGCCAGGTGCACTGGCCGAAGGGAGCCGCTTTCAGTGTTTCCCCGGGTAAGACAAACCGACAAAAAACAAAAAAAAAAAAAAAAAAAAAAAAAGCTCCTCGTCGCGTTGCAAAATTGCGTTCATCGGGTTTTGCGGCAAGAGTCGTCTCTGCTTTTTACCAGTCATTCCCCCTAATGCCGCGAAAACAGAGAACCCTCAGGCGAGCGGGAGCAGCCCGAAGGACTTGCCAGTCAAATCCCTGTAAGCCGCGAGAGCACCGCCTGAACGCGAGTTCCCCTGGCCTCGGTGAACCGTCGATGCTTTTAATTAAACGCAGCTAACCCTTTTTGTTAAAACCCTGCCGAGAAGGGTTAGGTTTTTACTTCTCGGGAGGCAGACGGTGTGTGTTTGCCGCTGAGCATCAGACTCTCCGACCAGAGCAGGCAGTCTCTAAGTGCACCCCTGCCAGATCTGCAGGCACGAAGCATCTTGACAGGGAGAGACGTGGGGGTATCGCGCCAGTTTGTTATCAATCCATTAAAGGAAAGACACGGGGGGCAGGATCTTGACCACTCTCCGGGACCGACAGCCCACTTGCTGCAGACACCCCAACTTTATCGAGGCACCTGTGCGGCTGCTGTGCAGAAAGCGAGGAGGGGGTGCAGAGCCCGACCCTTGACGAGAGAGCAGGGAAGGGGCTCACGAGGGGCAGGGGTGTGTGAGGCCGCTGCCCCGGGCAACTACGGCGCACGTGCCGTCGAGGATCGCAGCGACGTTCCCCTCTGGGCTGGGGGGCGCGGGCGAAGGGACGCTCCGCAGCTTCCCGCGGGGCTCTGCGGGACACCCCGCTGGGGAATTCACGTTAGCAAAACGCCTTCGTGCGGGTCCGGTAGCCTCCCACGGGCGGAACGGGTCCTCCGTGGATGTCTGCGCTGTCTTTAGAAAGTCCCAGGAGTTTATTTAATAAAGATCTGAAAACGAGAAACTCGCCTCCTCCTATTTTCGGGGGGGGGAGAGGGGGAGGGCGGGTGGGGGTGATGGGGAGGAGGGTCGATGGCCACAGCCCTGAGTCTTAGCGGGTGTAGTATGGCCAAGGCGAGGAATCCCCTGCGCCCCGCTGCTGCCCGTCCCGGCACTGTCGTCCCCGCGGTGCGCGCAGCGAGCGCGCAGGCAGCGAGCAGAAAGCGGCCGCGGCGACGGGCGGGCAGCGGTAGCGCAGGGCGGGCAGCGCTCGGGCAGGTGCCGACAGTGCGGACGGCGAGGGCCCTGGTACGGCAGCGGCGGTACCTGCGGCACGGGAGGGTTCTGCAGCGGGGAAAGCCCCTGCCGCTCCCCTTTGCTGTTGGGAGCACGCCGGGCCGCGACAGCGAGCGATCAGAGAGCCCTCGAGCTGGGGGTGAGCCTGGAGTCACGGGGGACGTGCCGTGGCCCCGCTTGGCAAGCGCTGGGCCTGCTTACCCTCACTGCTCAAACACAGTCTGGAGCACGGTGCAGGCTCGCTGCTTGCTTCGCTGAGGTCTTCGGAGCCGCTTGGATGGGGGATAAGCTGGAGGAACCAGAGGAGGAGTTATTTGATCTATTTCCTAAAGCGAATGATCCTTCGTTTTGCTTTTTCTTTCCTTTATTTTTTTTCTTTGTTCTCTAAAGTAATCTTTTATTAGAAACGAGTACCCAAGATAAATAAATGCGGGCAGGTACATCCTGCTTCCCCCGCCTGACCCATCACTCCGATGACGTGGGGAAAGACTGGCGAAGGAGCGGGCGATACGAACTCCACCGGGAAAAAAAAAAAAAAAACAAAAACCAAAAAAACAGGGGATGTAAAAAGAAGGACTTACAGCAAAGCCTCTATCTCAAGACCCAGGGGAGGAGTAGTCAGTAGGTTACCGGGAGGAGTAGAGATTAAGTCTACATTTACCCTACTCAAAACTAAGAAGCATCCCAGAATCTGTGCCACCGAACAGCAAGGAGGCTTTCAAAATACCCCTTTATTGGGTAAAAATTACTCCGGGCATCTCTACCTCCCTCAATTTCTCCCCCTCCGCTCCCCTCCTGCACGTCAAAACCTGCCGAGGAGCACAAAATCGGCCTAGTACTGCCATGCACCTCCACGGAGCAGGCCTACAGGTTTTCCTGTACTTCTGGGATTCCCTGTTGTAAGCTCTTAAACAGAATATTGAAACAATTTTGCTTTTGGTGCCTGTTCTTGCCTTGTAGCTCTGGCACTAAACAAATAGGAAAAGTGTGTTAAAGGGAGGCTACGGTTACAGCATCTTGGCCTGACATTCCCACATATAATTAAAACCATAGCCACAATAATACATAAATAAATAACAGCAAACAGAAGGATCCGTTCCTGTTCCAGTCGAAATCAACTGTTCTGGCTCTGTCACTGTGTTATTTTGTTGGAGCAGTCTACGTCGTTCCCTCCTAATTTTATTTTAATTTATTTTAATAGGAGAGACAACAGGGAAAGAAATTATGCATTTGGGTTTTCTTCTTTTAAGTCCATGTTTAGTTTTAATTTTCCTGTATTTTAAAATAAGCACGTTGGCTGCAACGTGTTTGATCTTTGCAAGAAGGAAGTCTATATTGTAAAGGAATGCGCAGCAGTTTGGTATGAAAATGGGGTTGTGACTCACAGCTGCAGGCAGAAAAAAAAGGTGTTGTGGTGTCAGCCAGAGGTGTTCGGTCTAATAACTCAAGCTGTAAACTGTATCCTCTAAAATTACTTACGTAGTAAATCATTCAGGGGTTAAAAAATAGACTGGAAAGCGTAAGAGAGGAAAAAAAAAATCTTTCAGAAGTTCCCTTCATGAAAATTATTTGCAATGATGGGAATTAGGAGTTTAATATTTCCCACATTTTCTTAAACGTCTGATACAGTTAATTGCCCTTGTATAGCCGATGGTGTATACTCTCGGTCGCTCGCGAAGCAGCAGAAACTTGTTTGGGGATAACCGTTTCATTGACTGCTTTACCCGATTTACAGTTAATTTTGACCATCTAAAAGAGAAAAAAAAAAATCCGAGAGTGAGTGTTTCGTAATCATTCAGTACCTCAGCAAAAACCCTCCGAAAAGAGCCTCCTTTGCCCGCATAGTCGAGCAGTCGAGGGCAAAGCGCCTCTGACATGCCTCTCTCCCTGATACACGCCGAGACACGGCATGTTTCCATCTCTCTTTGCCTCACGTAGGTGTATCTAGTCTGGCAACAGCTGAGAAACTGGGGAGGCTTTGAACGCAGATCTCTCTTCCAGCCTAACTGCTTGGTTTGCAGCAGCCCGGTCCGGGAGGAGAGAGAAAAAAAATAACCCCCAACTTCGGTGTCATCTCTAGCTGCGAAAGAATAGAGCGAGTAACGAAGCAGGAATCCGAAAGGTGCTTCCTAGGTCGAGATGTTGCCTTTCAGAAGAGCTTTCTTCGTTTCCAGCAGCGGTTGCCTTCACTGAAAAGGAGATGCTGGCCGTGACTTTCGGGTGGTTGCGCCTTGTGTGATGGGGAAAGTAACTTGTTAGGAAGATTTCCAACGGGAGAGACATTGAGTGATTTGGGGGAAAAAAATAAGCAAAATAAGACAAAATAAAATAAAATAAAATAAACCTGGGGAAAATGCCCTACAGAGGTCGGCAAATGTTCGCAGTGGAAATAAGAAGTCAGCAACAATTAAAATCTGGAAGCCACGTTCATTAGTATTCAGCACATAGGATCTAGCTTTTATGTTTATCTTTCTCCGCGGATCAATATTGTAGCAGCATGTGCCGGGAACAAGCAGAAATCTGGCCACTGCATGTGGCTGACCTTTCCCTCTCTCCCTACAGGTCAGATCGTCTTCATCAAAACAGGTCAGATCGTCTTCATAACTATCATCACCTAATGCAGCCACAGCCACGGCTCTCATTAAAACTGGTATTTAATATAGGCGCTGTGACTAGATATCAAAGGAGAAGGGGTGTTTGCCCACACAGAGGAATTAGTAGTCTAGGAAGAAGAAGGGAAAAAAAAGTTGGAATGAAAATTGCTCCTTTTTTTTTTTTTTTTTTTTTTTTTTTCCGGCCGCAAACTGCTGTTCACCGAGATCCAGCCCGAACGCGCGCACAGACCCAGTCTCCTGCGGGGGCTCTGCGGCCAGGAGCGCTGCCAGGCAGCAGCTCCAGCCGAGCTCCGCCGCCCCTTCGGGCCGGCCCCCCTGCCCCTGGGACACCCCGGCCGCGGCCACCCACGGACCTGCGGCGGCCGGGGAACGGTGCGGGGCCCCAAGTCACTCGCGCCCGAAGGACCCCCGCCGAGAGGTGTCGGGGAGTCCCCCACCCGCGGCCACCAACCCTGCCCGCCTCGGGACGGGTACTTCCCGCGGGCCCTGCGGCCGCCCCCAGCCCTCTTCGAGGAGAGATGCCGCGCGTATAGAA